GACTTGTTATTGATGACTAATGCTTGTTTTGATCACGTGTAAAGGGTAAGGATCACGCGACCCTTCCCGTAGGGTCACGCGACCTGTAGCCACGCTGCTTCAATCTGACAGTGTTTCTGGTTGTCTTACTAATTCCTACAAATAGGACCAGGACGCCTAGTAATAGAGTAAGTAATTTACTTTCAGAGCGGTGACTCGCCTTTAGATGACGCTAACCGATGTCGTGCTTACCCGCCGGAATGTGCTCAGCCTGATTGGATGTTTTGGAGGTCTCGGGGTCGGCGTTTAAGCCCAAATTAGCACCGACTACCCCACCCGGAGATACCGCCTGTTCGGAGTAAACTTCCAGAATCTCTGCCCGCCCTCACGGTATCCTCATCGGACACCAGACTGCGATCGACCGTCTGCTCATCGCCTTTTCTATCGCTTGAGGCAGTTAGATGAATGCCATTGGACAACACCATTACTAGTTACTGGGTAGCCTATCAGCCCTACTCCACTTGGAAAGAGTGCTATCTATCAGATATCCACAGTAGCCCGTGTGTTGATCGCAACCTCTGTCATCGTCAAGCAAGCTTCATCGGGATAAGCAGTTGCATGTCTCGGATACCAAGGAAAATATTGTAATAGGAGCATAGAATATGTGGACAGAGTATTGGAAGCATGCTCGCCTGACGACGTACAGAAAATAGTGATATCAATGTTTCTGGGGCTACTTCGTACGGCGGGCTATGCAATTTCCAACTTACCGCATGTTCACAACCAGTAGTCCTAGACTGTCTCACCGCTTCCATTGAATTTCATTCTCCTCGAGCCGGTGATGCAGCAGATACTTAGTATTTCACAATAGTAGATGGCCAGTCTGGGACGGAACAATGGAACGGCTGCCTTCCAGAAGCATTTGGGTTGAGGCTCGCGCCCCACCTCCAAGGCGGAAGGCGGTGAGTAGGCTTGCAAGAGGGGTTCCTGCAGCGTCATTCTTTTGGCGCGCAACATTCAAATCCCAGATCGCTCAAAACTTCAATAACAGGCGTGCGTTTTCTGGGGCGTCAACATGGCTGCAGATACACCTCTTGAGGAACTCATTAAAAGGCCTCTATATGGTAAGAAATGGATTTCGCTCGTCCCTGAATTGTGCCTTTTATTTATTAATTCCATAATGATAGATGGCTTGCTGACACATTATTACATCCAAAGTGTACAATCTTCCACAGGAACTTCTCTCGACGCTGACCACAAAGCATGAAAACCAATCGATATTACGGGCGGACACCCCTGAAGCTGTTTCAGACAAGACGGATGAAGTAGTGTTGGATCACGCGGTGGCCTCGACGACAAGTTGTACTCTCTGCAGGGTCTCGTATCTGAACGTCCAAGAACAACGGAGTCATGTTCGCTCGGATCATCATAGATACAACCTGAAGGCGCAGCTTAGGGGTGGTCCGACGTTGGACGAGTCTCAATTCGCAAAGGCTATAGGGGAACTCGACGAGTCTATATCTGGGTCCGAGTCGTCAGAAGCAGAGGATGAGGAAGAGAATGATCAACTTTCAGCATTGCTGAAGAAACAGGCCAAACTCTCCCAGGTGACCGATGAGGATGAAGCACCATCGAAGAAGATAACTTCCGGCAGGCCACCTCTTTTCTGGCTCTCTAGCACACGACTGCCTTCCAACATGTCCTTAGGTGTCTACCGGGCCTTGTTCTCAAATGCTGAACAGGATGAGCCCAGACACCTCGTTGAAACCATAAAAAGAAAGCAACTCCCGCCTATCATGCAACCGAGAGCCAACGGAAATGCTCCAGAGGCGCCGTCATCACCCAGCCCTCATGTTTTCATGTGCATGATTGGGGGCGGTCACTTCGCTGCTATGCTGGTCTCGCTGGCTCCCGAGATCCACCGGAGGCAGGGTGGTATTGAGGATAGACAAGCTCGAGTCATTGCGCACAAGACGTTCCATCGTTACACGACCAGACGAAAGCAAGGTGGCTCACAATCTGCTAATGATGCTGCCAAGGGAGCCGCACATTCGGCAGGTTCCAGTCTCAGAAGATACAACGAAGCTGCATTAGAGAAGGAGATCAGAGATTTATTGGCCGATTGGAAACAGATGATTGACGAGGCCGAATTATTGTTTGTTCGTGCCACGGGCAGTACGAATCGTCGAATCCTTTTCAGCCAGTACGAGGGCCAGGTTCTCAGGCAAAACGACCCGAGATTGAGAGGCTTCCCGTTCAGCACCCGTCGAGCAACCCAAAGCGAGCTGATGCGTTGCTTGAAGGAGCTCACCCGTGTGAAAGTAAGCCAAGTCGACGAAGCCGCATTGGCGGCTGCAGAGGCCAAGCAACGGGACGAAGTGTCGAAGCCATCAACACCACGGCCTCAACAGCAGAAGCCCAAGGTTTCCAAAGAAGATGAAGAGGCTATGCTTCACACAACCCAAATACAGGCTCTTATCCGTCGTTCTAAAATCCCAGCCTTGATGACCTATCTATCCAAGAACTCAATCCCTACATCCTTCATCTTTCGGCCTTCCGACTCTCAGCAGAACTTCCGCTGTCCTACCCCCCTCCACTTCGCTGCCAACCTGAACTCACCATCCATGGTCCTTGCCCTTTTGACCAAAACTACAGCAGATCCAACCGCAACAAATGGCGAAGGAAGAACGCCATTCGAGCTTGCTGGGGATCGTGCGACGCGGGACGCCTTCCGCGTTGCGCGTCATGAGCTAGGCGAGTCAAAGTGGAATTGGGAGGCTACCAAAGTGCCGTCACCGATCTCTCGAGACGAGGCCAACAACCGCTCTGAAAGGGAGCGAAAGACTGCAGAAGAAGAAGAGACTAGTCGACGCAAGGCTGAAATGGATCGTTTGAAAAAGGAGGAAGCGGCTAGTGCGGCACATCGCGCCTCCAAGAAACCAGCTGGTCGAACGCTGGGCTCTGTTGAGAAGACGGCTTCTGAGAAGAGAGAAGAGGAGATGCGAGGTATGACGCCGGAAATGAGAATGCGGTTGGAACGAGAGCGCCGCGCTAGAGCAGCTGAAGAACGCATGCGAAGAATGCAAGGGCAATGATGGGGTTAACCACTCAACTCTTCCACTCTTTGCTTTCCCCCAGATGTATGATGAAGTCATGGCCTGTAGCATTGCATTGTACGGAGCGTATTGATGTCTTTTGATGGATAGAAATGAAAGGCCACGGCAGCCAGCAGTCCATTTTCGGTTGTGCTCCGGCTGGCTATACCTCGGATCTAGCTTTCTGAACCTATAGATGCTGGCAACTAGCAGTTCAACGGCGAGCCTAAATCATCAGTAGTGTACTAGATAGCAGTGATAAAGCAGTGTATGATTGTTGCTGCCTTAGAGCTTACCAGATAGGAAGGCAGGAACCTGACCCCTGACCCGTGACCTGCTGGCGCTGGAAGTTCCAGCGTGAACAACTCTATACTAACTTTTAATTATCCTATTCCTTGACTCATCAATTCTCTCAATTGATTTTTATCTATATCCCACCTAGCAAGCATCCTAAATTATCGTTATTCCTACAATTTCTCGATCACCCCAGCGCCCACCATGTCCTGGTCTCAGGCTCCCGATGCGGTAGGGGTACTATCTAGATGGTATCCAGAGACCGGCCAAGCAGGTGAGCAGCTGATCATCCGGAGCCATCAGACGGTATATGTCGGTAGAGACTCGGATAGATGGTACGCTTCTTGTCCCATCTCGCATGTGGAGGTTAACCGAAATAAAGCCATCTCGTCGTGGATGCTACGTTTATTTCTCGTCAACACCTCCGCATCTACACCGTCCTGTTCGACCATGAGAACCCTGGAACTATCTTGCCATTGGTTTACGCTGAGAATATCTCGGTAAATGGGGCCTTGTGGAATATCTACCCCATGGCAGGCAAGGGTGGGTTTCTCCTCAGTGATGGCGATATACTCCAGCTGCCGAGGAGTATATTTCTCAAGTTCAGTTATCCGATGCATATGCAAGAACGCCTAGGTGTCATCATGACAAAAGAGATTAAAGTAAGCAATGCTATTCTATTCTATATTGAGATTGAAATTCTTGCTGATTTTCGCGGATTTTCGACAACATGTACTGCGTCACACCACGTAAACTGGGTTCTGGTGCTTACGGACAGGTGTATATGGCCTACAACTCGATTAGTGGTCAGCAGCTTGCTTGCAAGGTTATAAACCTTCGACCTCTGAGAGAAAAGATATTTAGGGGATCATGGACAGGTGATAATGATGACGACAATGGCGATACAACTGTCTTGCGAAAAGCCAAACTCTTCAGTGTGAAGTACGGGAAGAAGCTACGAAAGCCTGACCGTGAAGCAAAGCTTAAGAAAAGATTGGAAGTTTTCGGCCGCGAGGCCCTAATACTGAAAGATCTATGCCATGTAAGTTGGCGCATTGAATCTCGTTGTTCGCCATTGCCCTGACACCACAGTAGCCCAACATTATCAGCCTCGAAAAAGTGATACAAACTAATTTCCATATGTAAGTGTGTCCACGGACTTGCAGATGGGTCATAGCTAAAGAAACGTAGCTATCTCTTTCAGGAGCTGGTACCTGGTGGAGATCTGTTCTCTTATATCCAGTACAAAGGGGGAATGCTGACCAACATGGAGGCTGCAGTCATAATCAGGCAGCTGCTGATGGCTTTGGATTACTTGCATGGTCAGGATATTGTTCATCGGGACCTGAAACCAGACAATATACTCATGACATCCTTGGAGGACGGATGCAGGGTTGTGCTTTCTGACTTTGGGTGCGCCACCCGGAACCCTGGACGAATGTCGACAATGGTTGGCACATTCGAATATAGTGCTCCGTTAGTGCTCTGATCGTTGCAGTTGTACGGCGCTAACTCCAGAACAGAGAAGTCATAAATCCTAGTCAAGAGGGTTATACGAAAGCTGCAGACATGTGGTCGCTAGGTTGCGTAACAGCAGTCTTACTCACAGGTAGTACTTCGTGTGATGGCTCAATGGCCACGTACGCGATTGACTTGGCTAAAATTGGTGGGTATGAGAAGTTGGAAGCGAGTCTTACCAGACAGTTTGCGCATCCTCGAGCAAAGGATTTCATTCAACGCCTCCTCAAAATTGTTGCAGAAGAACGCATGACTGCCAACCAAGGGTTGCAACATGCGTGGTTCAGCAATCCAATTCATTCGGCCGAATTTCGAGAGCTTTACTGTCGATCAATCAGAGATTGGACTCCATGCTCTCCCCAAGCGCCGATAATTGTGGACATCACCAGCTTGAATTGCTTCAATGACCAAACGCTTGCTCGGGAAGCAGCGAGTAATGATTCCGACCTTGATGGGATTGAAAATAACCAAAAGAAGCCGCTTTCAAGTATAGTGTTCGGAGCACATGGCCCAACATCAAACAAGACAAGGAGCCCCAGCTCATCACTCGAAGGTCTCTCCAGTCACGAGATTGCTTCTCCCACTTTGTCGGATCTCAACTTACCTCCACTCACAGTCTGAGGGTTAAACAGTGAACGGTGAATTCGCGAGACATGGAAGGGGGATATGCCAGAAAGATAGGCTAATCTTAACACGCTAGCTATAGCATAGATAGTTTCCTAATAGCTTTTAAATGGCAAAACACTGAGTTTTGCAGTACGAAAGACCTCGAAGACAGAGTAAAAAGTAATCGAACAGACACGTATCGCAATATTGAGCAACCAGGCCAGACAACGAACAAAGGTGCATCCCGAACGCCACCAAAAGGCACCATCCATCTTACACAGCCATGTCTCAACTCCTTGTATAACAAATTAATAAGCCCCAATGATTGTGCAATTACCAGAAACTCACTCATCCCCGTTAATCAGCTACGCTACTACTACCAATATAGTAACTCAATCCTGACTTCAACTTACTAGACCACGGGGTCCTTGAATTCAAATGGGAAGAACAGAGGCTTTTGGAAAGTGTATTCATTGCTGATAATAGTTGGAAGATATTATCAAGGGGTGGGATGTTGTGATGTGATGGGATGTCCCTTTGTCTGGTCTGAAGGCTTGAAGGGAGAGGGTAGAAGTGTGGGAGGGAGGGAGGGAAGGGAGGTATTTCTGAGGTATTGGGGATACGTAAGTCTTCGTGTAATAAAAGTATGTTGTGTGGTAATATATTTAGTAACTGTCTGGTTCGGGTGAAAGCTATGAGTAAACAGGTAGGATCGAGGCTGAGTTGGAAGTATTACAGATCTGGGATGGACCCAGACTGTAAATATAAGGTTGCCTTTATTATAGAATCCAGGACCACTACTGCGTAGGGGTGTTATATGGGATGGGATGGGTGAAACTAGGTCGACACTGTGATTACTACTAATGGTATAGTCTATAGGTTGGATCAAGGTACCCCAAACTGTATCTATGTGTGTGGGGCCGACGATCTATGTCTTAAGGCTGTACCGAGTAATGTAGTCGGTTATTACTAGAAGTAGTAATACTAAAGACTCCTTTCACCGTAAAGTTCTATAGTAGACGCTTGATATACTTCCTATGAGACGCACGTTGACGTCGTGTGTTCGGGCTACTGGTGCTGCGGAGGGACGTAACCAATAACAGTGCATCAAGGGGTAGCTGATGAAAAACCTCCTAGGTGGAGCAAGAAACCCGTGCAGGTGTCATCGCCCTGCACCTGCATGTGCTGTGATCCGCATAGGTGGTTAGTAGATTAGATTCTCCCGGGAACCGGCGGGGAAAATTGTCCGATAGGGTGTGGTGTCCCTTGCGTGGATGGTGGATGCTGCGCAGAGGCTGGGGGAGAGTAGGGATGAACGGAAAGGTGGGTAGAGTTAGAGAAACAGGGCAATAGGTTTGAGCTGAGTTTCTCTCGTGCTGATGGTTTGCGCTTATGGTGCTATTCTAGGGGATCTTCTGAGAGGGTTGCTAATCGTGGTACTGAGATCGTCAACCCTTGTCTGGGTTCTTTGGTTTGGTCTCAGGCTCTGGCTTTGTAGAGGCAGGTTGGGGCTCTTTGGTATATTTGTCTGGTTCTGGGTCCAGTGTAGGTGATACCAGTTGAAGAACGTATCTGTTTTTAGTGGTCCATGCTATGTCAGTCTGAATGGGGGTGTTTGTGGCAAATCCATTGGGGCAGTCGTAGAATATACCCGTCCGGAGATATCTTCAGCTGCGAGATAATGCGATGCAGCAGACCGTGGGCAATTTCTCCGAGTGCAACTCCAGGTTGCACTGATGAAGCAAGGACAAACAAAGGAGGGTAGGCAGAAAGAAACGATGGGCAACATCAACGTGCAGTCATCTGACGCATAATATCCCGAGGCGGCTGGGGAGCTATTAGTAGTCGCAGGCACGGTCTTTGAGACACGAGCCAAAATAACAGTGCATAGCCACCTGGAGTCACGATCCTGTGTGAAGGAGATCAAAACCTTGCCCTGAGCAAGAATGTGGACTTGAGAAAGGGAAGATCCGTGAGTGTCCGGGAAAGATGCAAGGAGGGCAGGAGGAGGGGGCCCCCGATAAGCCGGAGCGATAGGAGGAAACAGTGGACGATGGGCGATCACTTGCTTTGCCAGCGAGACACAACTGGTTATTGGAGGGATGCTTGCCTGTGTTCAAGACAACAACGGCCAGAATCATCGATCGTTGCGGTTCATCGGAAGCCCCGGCTAGAGAAAATTCGATAAATCCAATGAGTACGATGACTGTGATGTTGATGACCGCGGTCATTTGGAACTGAAGTCATGTAGACATTCGATGAGTCCAGCCGATTGGTCACCTGCGTTGCTCGCCACTGTTGATTGGCGAACGCGCTTCCGCCGGACGCGCTACTCACGCGACGCGACGCGCGACGCGATGGCGTTTCAATTTTACCTGTCTGGGAAGTGGCCCCAAAAAAGATGTTCATGTATTGATTTCTTTCTTTTTATTCGAGGAAAAAGCAGAACTTCTTAGGGCTTTAATCAAATCTACGGAGGGAAAAAGCACTTCATATGTAGACATCTCGTGGTGATAGGGAGTAACTGAGGGACTGAATCATTTTCCCCTAAGTATCCAGGTTATCGAGGGTTGCCATCCCAACCAAAAACTATATGGACGTATCCGCTGTAAGAGGGATAAGATTCATGATCGATCAGTATCAGCCCAGCATCAACTATCTATCTACCCCAATTATACCAAGCTGCATGGCGCATCATGGCTTCGTAGATAGGTATAGATCAACTTCATCCAGGCGTATACTCCGTAACACGCAATGCAAGCTGCAATGCAACAGCCTCCTGTCCCACACCGGTCCGGCCCATCCCAGTCCAGACGGGTGATAGCTCCTCTCTGCTCCTCACCAGCTGGTGTCGATGCATTTGACATCAAGTGGACATGGCGATGGGGAAATGCCGCAATGGGTAACCCTGCGAGGAGACGCCTTGCAGCGCGCATCCCCTCCGAAGTGGCTCCTGCACTCCTTGTCTCACTCCACCCTCCGGAGGGGCATTAAGAGAGAGGAGATATAGAGGGATGAAGGCAGTGTTTGACCTTCAAAAATAGGCCTTTCCCCTGTTCTCAGGGCAGGAATGAGAAGGAGGAAGAAAGCAGAGACATGAGAAACAAAGAATAAAAGAGAAAAGAGAAAAGAAACAAACCTGAGTTGAGTCCAGGAGGCAACAGAAAGGCAGGCATGAGGGCGACCGACCAAAGTGTTACTGGTCATTCTTTGTACACGTTCGATGTCATCCATTGAGTTTGTGATATCACATTCAATTCCAGCTGAAGGCCGGTCAATCATTCCTATACCTGCCACCGCATTCAACTTCTTCTTACTTCTACCCTCCTCCTTCACCGTCCATCGACACAAGAGTGGCTTTGTTTAGTGTGTGTTTGGGAATTCTGCAGCCCGGATTTAGACTTTCCAAGAGCCATTGTTTGCCGGTCATTGGGCCAGAAGCTGGGTCTCCCCCCGTTTGCGGAACCGAACAAAAACGCCAGAAAAGCCCGCTGGCATCGGATCTCTCCTTTTTCGCCCATTTTCCCACCCATTTCCTTTCTCCGACATCATCCCATCATCATCTTCCTCGGATTTGCGCCGCTTGATATCCTCCCCTCGCCTCCCACTCTCCCCAGTCCTCTTCGCTGTCATTCCCTCGTCGCATTTCCCCGGACTTACTCCAAATCAAAGCGCTTGCTGTTGGCATTTCATTCACTCTCTTTCTGTCCCCCGATCTCTTGTTCTTCTCCTCCAAACCTCTTCCGGCGCAAACCTACATTCTTCGCGGGTTCCTCTTGATCCGCGCACAAACACTCCCGGCATCGACTGCCTCACCCCACCACCACCACTTCGCCAACTATTTAACTCATCTTCACTCCTTTGTCGTTTCATATGTCACTCATCCCTGGGGAATACCCATCTCCGTCGCGCAAGATGTTACTCCCATCTGCGCTTCCTAGCGACATGCCACAACAGTCGACCCAGTCGCATCTCGCGCCCAACCTACTATTCAACACTCCACCCCCCACCGAAGATGATCTGTTCCCATCAGGCAATGGCCTACTGGGAACCAGTCGCGCCCTCCAATCCCTTCTCAATATCTCTCCTGCTTCGATCCCCCGTCGCAAGACTCCTCCACGTCTCTTAAGTCCCCTCCAGCTACGATCCCCTCCTCCCTCCCGGTCGCAGAAGCGAGTGGCCCAGAAAGACTTGAACAACCTCACGCGCTCCTCCCCATCACCCTGCTCTCCCTCCAGACTTACGCGTCGTGCGAACAAGCGCCACCGATCTGCCTATGAAATTGACCTCGACTCGGAAGTTGAGGATCGCGAACCCTCCAAAAATGCCAAATCGCGCGACCGTTTCTCCACGCCCAAACGTCGCAGACAAATCCCCAATGACCTACCACTAGGTCTTACACAGGAAGACTTCTATTCACTTTATTCACCCCCGATCACACAGTCGCCTCTGTCGCCGGCGCATCGACCGCAAGAAGATCTGAGCGCAAGTGAAATAAACCCTCTGGAAACCTCACTATACAATCCCGACGCGCCACTGCCGTCCATCGAGACAAACGATGAAAGCATAAAGTCCGCGTCACACGAAATACTTCCGATCGATGCGTCACCTTCCTGGGTCGCAGAGGACGATCGACGGCTAGTGAACTTGGTCCTCGAAAGATATCAATTCTCCGAACAAATCTTGGACGACTGCGCCAGAGAACTGGGCAGAAACCACGAATCCATCAGACGCAGATGGCAAACTCTCCTAGGCCAAGGGGAGATAGGCTTGCGACGAGGAGCTAAACCAGACCCGCTGGGGACCTAAAATGGCCTCTTTTCGTTTATTTCTTCATGTCCGTCTACTGATCAAACTTTCGTTCGTTACTTTCGCTTACGATACCGACTCTACTCGCTTTTGAACTTGCGCCTTTTTAACCGCCAATACCCTGATAGCATCGCTACGCTACCTCCTGTATTATGACTTTGACTTATTCGGCTCTCCTGTTCTACTTTTCACACAACTCACGGGCTTATGTACGATACGGGATATGGATGGATTTGTTTTATTTCTTTTCTTCTTCTTTTCGTCAGGTGTTTACTTTCGGGGATTTCAGATTGTGTTACTACTACCATTTACCTTACCTTTATTTCACGGTGCTGTGTGTTTTTGTTTCTACATTTCCGGGGTTACTTACATTATGTTTGTCCCATCCATCTATCCACATTGATCAGATTCAATGGATGAACGGATAGATGGGATATGGATGACTATACTTCGGGTTTCTTTTTTTTTCTTTTCTTTCTCTTCTTTTTCATGTATCATATGACTGACTATCTATGACCGACACACACTGGTTGTGTATGTACTTTATCCTACTGTACTATCTATCTATCAAACTACTATCTATCAAACTACTACTTGTCGATGGGTTCATCCTATAACCAAATGTGTTCCTGCTCCGCACGTACGTCATCGCACGCTTTCCAAAATATGTGCGAAACCTTTACACTCTCGCCTTCTATGGTATTTAGGTAGGTAGGGTAGGTAGTATATGCATGTCTTCGAGCATGCTTCACTTCCGCGCTTTAGTACTAGAGTGGAAGGGCTTTGATAAAGTGATGGTCGAGCCGAGCCTTTCGTCATTCATTTATTATTACTAAGGTAACAGCGATAACTAGGTAATAAACACCGCTCCAATCGTTTGCGAGTGTAACGCTGTCTTTAATATTCTATTGAGGGGTTGTATGAATGAAGACAAGCGAAGGGGAAAAAAAAAAAAAGAAAGAAAACAAAATTACCTATACGGAGTACTACTATGACTATTACTAGTATGAGTTCAAGACGAGGCATGAATTTGGACAGATATATAAGCAAGCAGTGAGCACCAATAAAAAGAAGGGCAATAAATACTCCGGCTAAGTTGCAAAAATAAGAAACGAACTACCAATGCCTTCTAAGTACTATGTCCATGACCAAACCCAGTAATGCCATTATGCCATGCATCAATCAGCCCTTATGTGCAAACAAGAGAACAGAACCTAGGAAGTATGAGTACAACAGTACACACCCAACATGAAAACATGCAATCGATCAGTCAACGCCAGACACCAAGCTCAAAGGTCGGGAAATTAGAATGGAAGTTATTGTGATATAGATAGGGGGGATAGGACCGTCGGCCACCCTGTCTGCACTAATATATCATACTAGAATCTGTTTCGCTTGGAGTTAGCACACTAATCACCACCCCACATTTATCTGCGCAAGGGGTTCACATCAAACATACCGAATTTCATAACTGCCCGCGCGAGTCATGTACCGCACCCACTTCACACTGCTGTAGTTGCTCTTCTCGAATACCTTCAGGTACCGCACCAGTAATCCACTGCTGGTGAACATGAGAAGACTGAACGACAGACTGAGCGGTGGCCGACTCCAAGCCTTCTGGTGCGTCATGCTCGTCAACGTCGCTTCTGCTGTCAGGACGTATTCGCTTCCACCGGAAAACCGCGCGATCTTCCACACAATGTTATTATGTTCCGGCTCGTACTTGGCCCGACCCTGGCTGGTCCGTTCGGTCGTCTTGGCCGTGTTCAGCGGTGTTGGAATGCGAATCACCACGTTCGTCGCGAAGAGTTTCGAGCTGTAGTTGGCTTTGATAGCAACGCTGTATTCCACCTTGGTGGTGCCGACTTCACGCACGATCGGATGAACCTTGAAGGGCAGGTTGACGTTTTCGGTAGCGCGGTAGCGCATGAGCTCAAACTCGCCATCGGGAGGCACAAAGGAGATAATACGATCGGCGTCGAAGCGGCCCAGCTTGACGCACTGGTGGAACTGGCAGTCTTCGAGTGTGACGGAGCCCGCGGCCGCGCGGGTAGCCTTCATGGTACCGTCGCGATTGCCGGGGGTGGAGGAGCCAGCAGCATCAGTATCGAGGAGCAAGCGGTCATTGAGGCCGAATTTGCACTCTGGAGTGCCGGAGAGGTAAGCTCGCATGACAATTTGGCCGTTGACATCGGCGCGAAGGACAGTGCCTGTGGCGGACATGAGGAGGTTGACGTCTTCGATCACGTCGACAAAGGCCTCGTTCTTGCGATATTTGACGTCGGAACGGCGCCAGGAGAGAGCGCCAGTGGCTTGCATGGTGATACGGCTGGAGTCGGTCGCAGAGTTGGCAATGGCGGATTTTACGCCTTCGGTGGTGATGTACATTTTCAGGGTGTCGGTCTCGGTGTTTTGGGGGTATCCGAAATCGAGGATTTCTATGAAAGAAAAAACTGCGGTTTAGTGATCTTTCGATTTGGTAGTATTCTTGAAAGTACAGGTGAGGCGCACCGTCGAGCAATTCGTAGATCAGGACAAAGTTGTTCTTCACGGCCTCCTCATCGAGCTTCCCAAAATAGCTCTTTCCCAGCATGACCAATCGATATAGAAACTCGAAGACCAGCGCGGCATTGGCATTGCTCTTGGTCACGGCGACCAGGTAGATGTTTTCGTGTTTAACATGACTGAAGGTCGTGGAGCCTAGGGTTAGGATGGGCGAGCGGACTTGAGGGTTGGAGATGACTTGGATGCGGAAGATGTCGGCGAGGCGCGGGCGGCAGTCGCTGCGGAAAGCGCGGAAAATCAGGTTCTCGCCCTTTTGGTTGAAAATGAGGATACCGGAGAGCATGGTGAAGGGGCGCTGCGGAGGATGAGGGGCGGGAGGGGGGTTGAAGGAGAAGTAAGTAGAAGAAGAAAGGAAAGGGGGGAACGGAGAGGGATGAGGGGGCCGCGGAGAGAGAAGAAGGTGAAGTCGGTCTCGACCGGCGAAGGCGATGGATGCGGTTTGCCCGCCGACACTACCTACTACTCGCATTACTACAGCTCTTTTCGATGCGCACTTCGAGTGGCCAGCCAGTATATAGTTTACTTTATCCAATTTTTCTGTGTATTTGGTGAATACTTGGCGATCAATAATTCGATGTTCTAATGCCTAAATATAAGTCATGGCGACACAACACTCACATACGCTATGGTTGCCGGAGCTGTCAAGGATGAGCATCGACAGCTCAAGTCTAGATAGTATAACTCTCGTCCATGGAATCGTTGTATTCGCATATTGAAAGGAACCCGTCATTTAGCTTCTGGTTAGTATTTTTTGTTTTCGGGTGCAAGTGAGGTGAGGCAGTAAGAGGTATATAACTTAACAAAAACACAATAACTGGATAGTTCTTTCGGCTTCTTCTCACGGCTGCGTCGAAGTAGGGCATATAACCTCTTTTAAAAGATTGACAAATCCCCGATGGTGCCATGGCTCAAGTAGTATGTTGAGAAGATGGTGTTCTTTTATCGTATAGGCTACCGACTGGTATTATATGGTCTGATGCGTCTAGAGGGCTAAAGGCAACCGATGTAAAGTCGGAGGGTCGATGTCGAATCGAACACGAAAAGAGGACGCTTAGTACACTGTGTGCGGAGGCGCCTACTAAATACTACGTTCATGTATGTGCAGAATTAAACTTGACGAAGGAGGGCGTTGATTTCGAGATCAACCGTGGCAATTTGAAATAGGTATTATGTATGCTCGCGTTATTCCCGACTACTGCTCGATGTTAAGCTTTTTCCGGGACTTTGACGGTCGAGCATACTAGATGTATATATACACAGCTCATATAGGCACCTAAATACATACAGACCGTAACACACTGAGGGTTGAGAGGTTGTGCTATGCTCATCTCATGTGCTGGCCGGATGTGCTGTCATGAGTCGGCATGGAGCGACAGAATGCAACATGCCACTCCGTACTTTCGAATTCAGCAAAACCTAGTAGCGCTGGTTCACATTGCGATAACATGGACTGACGCCCACATGGCGGGTATCGAGGTTAGGGCATGGATATCATGACGGCGAGTCCAGTATCAAAAGAAATCACAAGAAAAAAAGAGAGAATAAAATCTCGGAGATCGGAGTTCGAATGCAGTCCCCCTTCCCAACGAGACATATTAAAAAGGCGTAGATGATTAAAGGAAGTCGTAGAGAATGTAAAACGGGAATCAAGTCCGCAGATGGCGATCTGACAGAAATCTTGCGGGAATTCCATCAAACGCCGCTGCTCGGCCGGGTCCCTGGAAGCGATGGAACTCCCTCACTGCGGATGATGCCAACCTTAGGATCCGGGATCTGGATGTCCAGCGACATGTACGCCGTCCTGCGGAGACTCCAGATATGTACTCCGTCCTTGGCCCCGACCTCTCTGTTCCACCTCTCCAGCCACGCTTCCACCCGTTTGAGATGGCTCTTGATTCCTGGCGCGCCTATGTCTTCCCAAATCCATCCCGTCAGAAGGCTCAGCGCACTGTCGATGAAGTTGCGAAGGCTGAACGGATCGAACGCCTTAACGAGCTCATCATTCACTGTGGCGATCACCTTTCGAAACTCTTGTTCGGGTAATAGCGGGTCCAGAATCTCGGGGTACAGGTTGGAGAATGTGGGAGCTAGGTCTCCCTTGATCATCCAATCACGCCGGATTCGTATGATGCGGGTGGTCATGTACTCCTCAGACCCAATCGGAACATGTGGGTTGATGTGAGGATAACACGGATGCGCAGGGCCCCAGGCCAACTCCTCCGCCACATCAGCCTCGCCGCCATTCTGAGCGCCGGTAATGGATGGTACAGATGCAATGTGTGACTGTGATCGCAGCGAGGATTGCGACTGGATGTGGCGGGGCCGGTCGTCGTGAAGCGGCCCAGGTCCGTCTACCGCGAAATCGAGGCCCAGATGCGCCCGTTCCGGAGCGCGAGGGTTCTTTACCTCCGGGGCACCATTTGATACTCCCGACTCGGACATTTCTCGTAACACCAGCTGGTCGTCAAATGCGCCACTGCGCCTCTGGCCGCGAGGCACTGCGATGCTGGAGCGTCCACTCTCCGTTTCCCCTTGACTGCGCTCCACCACCAGACTGTTCGGGGATGGGATCGGTCGACTGCGACGCCGTTCGGGAATAGTCAGCAAAGGGTAGGCGTCTCGGTGTGCGTCGAGCGGGAGGTTCTCGTCGGAGAGCTGCGACAGATGGGGTACCGTGACCGGAGTGTTGCGGGGAACGTAATTGACAGGATTTGCAAGTCGCACTGACGGCGGGCGCAAGATCGTGGGAGGTATCCAGGAACTCTTTCGTCGATATGAGAATCGTGCTTGGGAGGAGCTCGCTGCGGTGAACTGATCGGAGGATGTGGGGGGATGTGCCTCGAAGGAATGGCACCGAACGCGGAGGCCTCGCGGGGGATAAGGGGATGCTTCTTTAACCGGGGGCGATGATGTTGAAGGGTCCGTTTGTGAGGCGAGAGGGGACGTTTTCGAAGAGGAAAACGACCGAGGGGGCCGCGAGGCGCGCTTAGATGGCGGAGAGGCCGTGGTGGACGAGGAGAGGAGAGACGTTGTGGTGGGAGGATTAGGAAATGATGTCGATGGCCCAAGGATAAGAATCGATCGCAGCGGGCGGCTTTGATTGGCGGGTGAGGATCGAAAAGGGGCGCGGCAAGGGACAGAAGATGATCTGAGCACGACATTCAAGGATGAAAGGATGGAAATGATGCTGGTCAAGATGATGTTAAGTTAAAAAGGAAAAGGACCCTCGAATGGCCCTCTCCGACTGTCTGGTGGAACCAACGGGGGTATAGTGAATGAATGGGAATGGAGTAAAGGAAAGTACCCAGTCAGTAAATAGTCGGTAGTTAGTATCTACTCCCTATATACACAACTTGCTCTCTCACTAACTAGGGAGGATGATGATCTCGATGATGAGGTGACTCCACCCACAAAAGAATGAATGCAGTGGGATTGAAACGAGTGAGTAGTATAGTTGACGGTTTCAAAGATTGATTCAACTGCTAGGCCGAAAAAAGAGGATGGCCATGGCTCTTATTATTGTAGCGGAATGAGTTCGCCCAGAGGCCCATCCTTTATCCACCGGATCCCGACTCGAAACAATAAACGAGTCAATAGCCCAAGTAAGGCTCCAACCCAACGCGGGAACCGGACCAGAACTACCTCGATTTTCTAAAGTTAAAAATATTCCCTAGTACGGAGTAACTACCGAGTAGTATTGCATCCATCCATACTACTATTCATTCATCCGTCCACCCAAAAAAAGGTTGTGCAGCAAATCAGGTACTGCCGACCCTTGGATCAGATGGAATGATTGGCAGGTCCCCTCACAGCACGGTCCAATGTTCTTTTTCTCTTAGACGGCCAAGGACAGGGCGAGCGATGAAGGACACCCTCATGGCCAAGGACAAAGGCAGTCCGAGTCTGAATTAGATTAAATATTGGCCTGGGATGGAATTAAAATGAAGCTTGATCGCCTGCCTTCCCGACGTCGCCCGGCAGTCTTTTTGGGGTTCTGGCCACGGGACTATCACGTGAACTCATTGCTTCTCCGCCAATCAGAACCTGGAAACATCTTCACTGGAGCTCCCCTCTCCAGTCCAGTCAAGTCTCTCGCTTCACTCACTTCATCAAGAACTTTTAATCAGTTGTCTATACTTCGCTACTTCAGGCTCCCTTCGGCCACAACAAGGGGACCAAGTAGAAGCATTTATTTCTAATCACCCCGTCTCTTTCCAAGCCAAAACGGGTGGGAAGTTCTGTGCATCGCTCGTTTGTACCTCGCAGTCAAAGTGTTCGCACCCATCCATGTCGGACCCTTCCAACGCAGCTTCCGTCTCCTGCATTTGATGCGGCCTCCGCTCGCCATCTGCAATACCGGTATTACTTTGCGCGTTACAAGCAGCTGTGGCCCAGCTCAAATCTATCGTCCTTCATTTCTGCGTTTGTACCATCAACGGTGTCAAGGAATGAAAGTAGCAACGCTGCAGTTTGCCCCTCGTTTGGGCGATGTCGATGGCAACATCAAAAGAGCCAATGAACTGCTCAAGGACGGGAAGGTAGTGCGGGGCGTTGGAATTGGGGTTGGACTTGATCTCCTGAAGCCGGATGTTTTGATTTTGCCCGAGTTGGCCTTGACGGGTAAGTGTTACTCTGTCCTCCCCACGGGTGTCACACGACGCATGAGCTTCGGGATGTTTGTACTCGGTGGCTTGTTCAGTGCGTCTTAGCCTGGAGCTCTTACCTCTACCGACACCCTTTTGGATTCCTTTCGCCCCCGGAATTTTCTACGCAGCACGGTCATTAATTCGACCAGGATACAACTTTCCCTCGTTGGAGGCTATAAGACCCTTCCTTGAGCCCGTTGGACAAGGTCCTTCAGCGCAGTGGGCTCGAGAAACGGCCAAACGCTTACAGTGCAAAGTCTGTGTGGGCTATCCGGAGATTTACACAGAAAATAGTGCCCAACAGGCTGATTCAACTAACCCCACGGAGACTTGCTACAACTCCCTGCTGGTGGTGGACGAAACTGGTGACATCGTCCTAAACTACCGTAAATCGTTTCTATACTACACGGATGAGACGTGGGCGGCAGAGGGCAACCCGCAGCAAGGCTTCCATCAGCTCTCTTTCCGAAACTCAAATCAAAGCTCGGTGGAGTCCCAGATAGCTACCTCTTTCGGCATCTGTATGGACATCAACCCATATCGATTCGAGGCTCCCTTTACTGCCTGGGAGTTTGCCAATCGGGTCCTGGATACGAAGTCTGAGCTGGTCATTCTTTCTATGGCTTGGTTGACCTTGTTGGAGCGGGACGAGCTCGACTCGCTTGCTGATGAGCCGGACTTGGACACGTTCAACTACTGGATCCAGCGATTTATGCCGCTTATCAGGAAGAAGATGGGCCATGAAACCAACTTCGATAGCGATGATGCTAATCGCGGAAAGAAGATCATCATTGTGTTTGCAAATAGAGCCGGAGAAGAACCGGGTGCCGAAGGGACGAACCCAGCTCGGTATGCGGGCACGAGTGCTATCGTAGCAATCACACAGAAACCACCATCCCGTACATCAGGTAAGAAATCTTCTTCTAAAGAAGGAGACCCTGGTGACGATACGGATGCCGCTGAGACAGATGCACCGTCATTTGATACGAAAATCCTGTGTTGGGATATGATGGGTGCGACGACGGAAGGTATTTGTTTTGCCGACACTACGGCAGACCCCAGCATGGTGTTTGGATTGGTCAAAGCTTCATAATGACATTCCAACTACAGATGAGGCTAAAGCCACCTCGTAATTGGTGGGTTGCAGCCTGGAGTGGTGCCCTGCCTATCAATTCTATTTCAGATGGCGTCACTTGAGTCGGCGTTCGTAAATCAAATAGATCGTATACTGGGGTTGCTTTGGACGTGGACAAAAACTGAATAGGAGTCGCAATGCATGTCCAAGGATCTATTGTCTGGCACGATAGGAAGTCGTGTATACGCCCTTTCCCCTGCTGTGTAGGAAGCTTATCAGGGCACCAGTCTCTCGCACACTTGTTCTGTTCCATGCGCTTTGGGCTCCCCACCCTGTCCTTTGACCTAGTGGGCTTCTTATCGGAGAGCGAAGTGCATATCGTCAACCGACCGACCGACAGACGGGCAGGTTCCAAAGTCCCGAGTTGCCACAGTGAGCCATGATCTATCATGTGAGGCACTTTCTGGCCCCAGTCAGACTCGACCATCATTCATGTGACAGGCGATGGCAACTCGTCATTGTCACTTGGCTGTTTATTCGCATTGGAGCGACCAAGGCGAATCTAGACTCATTTCTGCTCTCCGGAGAATACCCGCCTCCTACACAGTAAATGTATACTATTCTCCAAGGTCGATTGCGGCAAGAACCCCGGATGATCAGAGGGCTCCGGACAATGATCGCTACAGCAAGCTAAAGTACCTAAGGGTAGAGTATCCACTCCAACATCTTATCTCATGACCAACTGATCAGCGACGTCGCCTGTCAGATGGACTCCTACTTCCTCAGAGTCAACTGCTGAACCTTGGAAGGAGGCTTTTTCTCTCTTCCTGTCGGGTACCCCCCCGTTTCTGCATGCAACCCTTGACGCGCATCCCTAGGCAAGGAAAGGTAGCATATTTCGGAGGATGTGCGGCCATCTTAGTGAGGAGAAGGCTAGTAGAGATCGCGACGAGGGATCTGATAGGTTGCATTGCGCACACATGTGACGGTTGGAGTTAGCGGACAGCCTTGGAAAGATTGAGAATTGACCCGGGTTGGTTCGAAAGAAAACAGAGTTGCTGCGCAATGGGGCAGGGCATGGAGGCCCATCGTGGCTTGATCATGCCAAATGGAGGGTGGATTGCGGGCCTCCCTACCACCAGTACTTTTGTAGACTGACGATTGGAAGTCACTGATAGTATCTATGACCCGTTCGCAGAAAACAGGGGGCACAAAGGCAGGTGGACGACAGGACAGTCAGATCATGACGACATACATAGAAAGTTCAGACTGCAAAAGAGATCGGCAGCTAAGGGGAGGGGGGATCAGAGACAAGCCACCACCATAGTGACTCTTTGAGACTTTGGTGCTGACTCGACTTGAAATAACTCGTTAGTACTCCATAGATAGTCACTAGTTGTAACTAAGTACTGTCCAGTAACTGGTTGCTACTTGGAAGGGACGGGCCGACCGGGATGAGCAGGCACCCTCCACGGCGCAGCGACGTTCCCACTCCAATAATGGACTTCTGCAGGAATAACAGGATATTCCTCCCATTCGATCAGTGCTACTGTATGTTCTTGAATAGACCGATCGCAGGACACTAGAGAAGTCAGAAAGGACACCAATCAGTCCCCTTTTCCCCTTTCGAGCCAAGAGGGCTGCCGGGTTCCACGTGATTCCGGGTGAACCCCTCCTCCGACCACCGGGACAGAGGAGGCCTGCCGACCAATCAGAATTGGTGATTGAGGAGTTGGGTGAGGAGGGGGCACGGGATGGCAGCACCTGACAATTTTGTGATGGAGAAGGAGGGAATGAGGAAGAGGAAAACCGGTTGGAACGGAGGTGAAGGGGTGGGGGGGTTGAGGGAAGGGAAAATAGGAAGATGATAATGTGCCAGGGCAAAATAATAAAAAAAAAAAAAAAAAAAAAAAAAAAAAAAAAAAAAAAAGACAAAAAACTCAATGAGAATGATGTTTACAGAAAATGGTTGGTATTGGTGGTGGTATGATTCCGGGCTGGCCTCACTTGAAAAAGAGAGACTGCTTACTTACTACTAGTAAGTTTAGTAGGTTTCTACTTTACTGTAAGTTGATTCTCAGAATAACCCTCCTCCCCTTCTCTTTTATTGTCTGTTTTGGATAAGGTACTACAGTAGCCCTGGTTTTGGAGGTAGAAGTTGAGTTACTTACTATATACATTGCAGCAAGTACCACGGGAGTATAACATTAACCAACTGGTTAGTTAGTTAGTTACTATCAATACTCCGTGACTTTTGACTTTTGAGGAGGGTGGGGTCAGGTGATCGGCCTGGCGTTACATACTACTCACATTATCCTTTACTTTACACCTCGGGTCCATCTGGGTCACCGTAGCGGGCGGTTCTCCTCTCTTTGATTCTCGTCCTTCGTCCCTCGCCACGTGAGCAGTCCCTCTCTACTCGACTCTCTCTCTACTCCTCCATGTATCCCTTTTTTCCATTGTAAAATCCGCCACAACTTTTTGCTTGTTTTCAAAGCCGATCCGTCCGCTGTCTTTGATGTGGATGCTTCGATCCCGACCATTTCTTCCGTGAACAAATTTCGTTCTCCAGCTTCTGCGATCGAACCGGTGTCTTCCCTCTTGTTGTTTGCCCGTGGCAGGTGACTTGCTGTCAGGTGATAGATAGACCATCCCAAGGTAATCAATCCAGCTCTCCCTCTCCTTCCCTTCGCTCGCGCTGTGCCCCTCTATTCTCTTTCGCCTCTTGTCTGGTCCGCGGTTCTTCCACGGCCATCAGCATCGCCATAGCATTATGGCTTCTGCTTTGGCAAACCCCCTTGTCCTCTCCTTCTCCGAAATGGCCCGGTCGGGCGATGGCCGAGGATGATGATGCTGTTTTTTCCCGCTTCCATCGGTCGCAAAGACGTCTTTGCGACGCGTCGCCGATCTAGCTCCCATCTCAGGGACTTGCTCTTCATCTCCTCATGTGCCCGTGCTACTGCCTTCACTTCAGTGTCATCTCTCGTTTGTAGTTGTATCTCTGCTGGTGGTCGCGCCGTTCATCTTGTGTTCGGTGCTTGTTGGTGCTTGCTTGGATGCGGAGGTGGGCGCGTCAGCAAACGCGTTACTAGCTCACAACCCGTTCAGTTCTGGCTCACCTGTGCACCCCAGCAACTGTAGCCCTTCACTGGGACTATCCAATGGCTCCACCGCAATTCAATGAATGCTACCATTTTTCCCCCTTGCAATAGTGTTGCTTTGTTCATCCACCGGATCATTTCCTACACCATCTTGAACCGTACTGACCGTGCAAAAGCAACTTGGTTACTAACGGAACTTCTAGAGTTAACGGGAATCGCCTAATCTCTCCGATTAGGCCTCTAGAGCTGGAGCGAAACTCCGGTAACTTCACTGAATCCCTATCGTTAGCAGGTAAGTGCGCTTCGAAGGTGGTGGCTGGCTCCCTAAATGACGCGCCGTGATACTAACTGTTACGCACAGGGCAGTCATATCATACATACCTAACGATGTCTGATCCGTCGTTGGGTGCTACCGATGGTAGTGTTACGGCCAAGCGAAAGCGCGACAGTACCGATAGCACCGGTCCAGATGCCCAGCGTCTGAATCGATCTTCCAATGGGAGCAACGGCAGCATTCCCGCCCCAGATACTCAGCCGAACTTCGCCCATAGCTCTCTTGGATCCTATGACACGCATCTTCCAAGTGCTACGACAGAACTCAACATCGACCAGCAAATCCTGCAACATGTTGGTCCCCAAAACGGTATCTCGGATGATAACGCCCTCACTGCTAAGGCGGCACTCGCCGCCCACACCCCTCAGAACAAATACCCGCCTCCCCCTGATGCGACCTTTGACAACAATCTCGCCCATGGCTTGACGTTTGGAGACGATATGGGCCAGGCTATCGGCTCCGCACATGGTCACAATTCTACTGCTGCCGCCGTCTACGCTGCTCGCGAAGCTCAGAGCATGAATCAGAAGCCTTCTGTAGGTTCTCCTGAATGGCATCAGATTCGGAAAAACAATCACAAAGAAGGTACAGCAATTTCCCCCCTCTCCACTTTTCAAAGTGCATCCACTAATGAAGACTTAGTGGAGCGGCGACGCCGTGAGGCGATCAATGAGGGCATCAATCAGATCGCTCGCCTTGTCCCCAACTGTGACAAGAACAAGGGTGCCATTCTGCAACGCGCAATCGAATATATATGCCAACTACACGAAGAAAAGAAAGCCATGAGTGAACGTTGGGATCAGAACAATATGACCACGAGCCATGCAATCAACGAAATCAGCTCGCAGAACTCCAAACTGAAGATCGAAGTCAACCGTCGCGGTGACATTGCGCTGAAGTGGCTGCAGCGCTGCCGCGACGCAGGTCTCGATTTCGAAGACTACGAAGACTCGAAGGAGCTGGAGCCCCTTGACATTGACCAAGGCCAGGTTTAATCTCGACTAACGTGCATTACTGTGCGTACAGAGAATGTAGTGTGAGAATCACTGCATTATCTCGTTTCTTTATATTCACATGTGCTACGACTTGTTTACCTTGGGAGGCATGAGACAGCACCGATCTTGTCGCTTGCTATCCTCTTCCTTTTCCCTTTTTAACACTTTATCCTAACAGCTTCTCCCCTTTCATTGAACAGACCTTGCCTGATCTCTCCCTGTTTCCATTTTTTTTTTTCATGTCAGTTATTTGCAAGGTACAGTCTTACGATGTCCGGTTTTTGTTGTGAGGGAGAACGATGTGGTTCTCCAATCTTTATTTTAATTGCCTAGCCTGGGGTGGGTATCCTGTTTCTATTTCCCCCGTATCTGCTTTTACCCCTGCTGTGATTCTTTTCTGTATGCTATTCTTAAGGATGGGACGGCGAAACTATGGCTGGGAGTGGATGATCCGATGGCCATGTAGCCTAGGACACCACGGCGTGTTATCGGAATGCAAGCTCATTTCAAGTCTGATCTCGGTATGATTCTAGTAATGATTTTGTGAACAGAGCAGATATCGGACGAGTAATCAAACATAAGCGTGGTTTGTCCTGCCTGCACTAGAACCAATAGAGTAGTAGCTTACATGCAGCACATACATAGCCGATCACTCTAGGACTTACAGTATTGGTGTCTCTTTTCCCTTGTTTCATTATTCTACTCATAGATACACAATCAAATCCGAAACCATGCCCCAAACCATTCACACCACACTCCATTTTCTTTTCACTCTTCGACTTCATCCCCTTCCCCATAGCATTACCATCAACCACATGAGCAGTAAATACCAATGCCCAGCCCAATTCAACTAGTAATACATAGGTGATACCACCACCATTAGCTAGCTGCTAGCTACTACTAGTATCTAGTACTCATAATGTCCGAGCCTCCATTCTCATTCCCATACACAAGTAGTAGTAGTAGTAGTAGTAGTACTACTGTAGGAAGAATGATCCCCTAACAGTCTTACCCCCGATCACACGACATCTGAGTAAGTGTCACATTTATTCATCCAAATCGCATCGCTTACTAGCCGCAGGTTCCCATCCAAACACTTGTAATTTGCCCCGCCGTTGAATCAATCCATCACGTGCATTTACCTACATCCTCATGCAAAACGTAGTGTGTGTGTGTGTGTGCAAGTTTGGCTGAGATCAAAAAGGATAATAGTCCGGCTTTTCCTTTTCTTATCTTTATTCCTTTTTGTTGATGGGTTGTTATGATTAGCTAGGTAGGTAGTAAGTAGTAGATCGAATTCAAATAGTAGTGGGCTTGTAGCCTGATAGGCTGAGAGTGGGGGTTGGCTGGCTGCTTGGTTATTTTAACTTGGATGTTTGTATTTCTTTCTGCGTGATGGAGGAAGGGGATGACCTTGGCTAGTTTTCTTTTTTCCGATTCCGCGGGAGTAGATAGACATAGTTACTGGTTTGAGAAAGGGGATATAGTAGTGGGACTGGGTAACTATGTAGTGTGATTTGTGGTTTGGAGATATGTTGTGCAGTGAGTTGTATTAAGTAGGGTCGTAGATGATAGTGTGATTTGTTTATTTGATAGTGTAGTATAGTTAAGTAGACGTGGCTAGAGAGGGGGAAGTTATGTCTAGGTGGTGCGGATGTGGCGTGAACGGTGTCATTCTTAGACATAAGTAGTAATAGTGGTAACCTGACGAGGTTCTCGAAAGAATAAAATGTATATACAGGAAGTTTATAAGATTTGTGAAAAGAAGCCCCCAAACAAAGCGCTAATACACCAAAGAAGCAGAAGCATGACCAAACCCGGCACACACACTTCTAGAGAATTAAAATTTTAAGAAGAGTACAACAACATATCCCGTCATCGCAAACACCCAGTCAGTCGGGTCAAATCACCAATTTACTCAAAGTTGGAGGAAGCAGTGACAGACGAGCCAGACGAGACGCTGACGTTCTTGATGGTGATCTGAGAACCACCCTCGGCAGTGACACGGACATCGACGGTGTCGGTACCGAAACCGCTCTGGTTCTCGAAGTAGTTGTATGAGGAACGGGTGGTGGATTGCCAGGTGCTACCGCTGTCGGTGCTGACCTCGAGCTTGGTGACGGGCAGGTTGGAGTTGACGACCTGCATGGCGAACCAGTAGGCGGAGGTGCCGCTCTTGTTGACCAGTTCGATCGGGGAGGTGATACCACAGGCAACGTATTCCCAGTCGATGCTGATAACGCCCTTGGAGATGTCGGCCAGCTCGGAGAAGGCGCTCTCGAAGAGATCGAGGTGGTTGGAATCGCATTCGGGACATTCGTCGACAACCTTGGAGTTTGTTAGAGACAGGAACGAAAGCACGTATAGAAGCAGTGCTTAGGAGATGAGACTTACCATGGCCTTGATCTTGGTACCGCTAGGGCCAGTGACCTCGACACAAGCACCGCATTCCGCTGCGTTATCCCAGCGTTGGGAGGAGAGTGCCGTGCCGAAGAGGCCAGAGGGGATAGTGTAGTCGGTGAACGAGCAGGTTCCACCCGAGACGTTACCGCCGTAGAAAGTTGCTTCACCCGAGTACTCGGAACTCAGGGCACTGCTAGAGGTGGAAGAGCTAGAGCTGGAGGCAGACGATGTCGCGGCGCTAGCAGCGGTTGAGCTAGAAGAAGTAGACTTGGATTCGACGGTAGTGGCTGCGGCCTGGGTAGCAGCAGCTTCGGTAGTGGCAGCCTCAGTGGTAGCGGCCTCAGAGGTAGACTGAACAACAGCTTCGGTAGTAGCAGCAGCCTGAGTAGTAGCAGCTTCGGTGGTAGCGGCAGCAGCAGCCTGGCTAGTGACAGCCTCGGTGGTAGCGGCTTCAGGGGTAGGCTGGGCAGCAGCTTCGGTGGTCGCGACAGCTTCAGTAGTTGCAACCTCAGTGGTAACAGCCTCAGAGGTAGGCTCAGCGGCTGCAGTAGTTGCGGCGGCATTAACGGCAGCATTGGTCGTCACCTCAACGACCGAGGAAGAGGAAGAGGTAGCCTCCACAGCAGCGCTAGTCTCAGCAGCAGGGGAAGCTTCGGCAACGGAGGTGGTGGCAACTGGTGCAACGCTCTCGACCGCGGAGCTCGTGGTGGCGACCGCAGGGGTTGCAGTCACGACCTCGGTCACGATGACGGTCGAAGACGAGTGCAAAGTAGTAACCTGATCAACCGAAGTAGAGCTTGACTCGACAGCAGGGGTCGAGGTTGGCTCGACGGATGCAGTTGAAGTGGGCTGGAGCGTAATCGTCTTGTAGTAGACGCTCTGAGTGTAGCCAACGGGACATTGGCCTTCACCTACACTGGCGAGCGTAGAGGTTGGCACGGTTGGCGCAGTAGAGGAGGGCTGGAGAGTGATAGTCTTGTAGTAGACGCTCTGGGTGTAGCCTTGAGGGCATTGACCCTCAGCTTCACGGTTCAGCAATGGGTTGGCAGAGACCGTCGCAACGGCACTCAGGGCAGTAAAGCCCAAAGAGGCGAGGCGTTGATACTTCATGTTTGGAAGATGGAGAAAAGTGTCTCAGACAAGGTGCCAAGAAATGAAATAAAGAATGGATGTCTTTCTCTCTTTGCCGGCCAAGAGATGGCGTGGAATCACAGTAAAGACAGGACGTGTAGTCAACACAATAATGGTCAGTAAGAATGAATGGACAGGATTTCAAATCCCAGGGTGTAGAATCTGCTGTTCCAGACAGAATGGCAAAGGAGCGACAAAGAGAGAAGAAGCTGAGAAAAGAAGGAACTTCGCAGAATAATAAGAGGCGAGGGAAGGAGAACGAGCGTTTGGGGGCGTCTGGCCCCAGAGCCAGGATAGTGTGATCCATCAGCAACCATCAATCTAAGGAAATGAACAGTCGTAAAGATTTTCCCTGGTTAGCGCCTTAACTTTAATGACACATAAGCCCGAGGGAAGGCAGCAGCGATTTCGTTCGCGCACCGCGAAATGAGATCGCAATGTGAAACGCCGGGCGTGGATCACCACATTGACAGACCAGGGAATTGGAGCAGAACTGATGGAGAAGCGCCGCCGCTGGGTCTTCCCTTTGCTCCGCACGTCTTAGATGTTGGCCAACATCAATGGCTTCTGATATTGAGTAATTAAACTACACGGGCCCGACCCACTGCTCGGAAATCACCTAACGGCCAGAGAAAATTGCCCGGCTAGTAAGCAGTCGGGGGCGATTGTCTCCCCTGCACCAAGCCGCCAATAGCCTGACCGAGAGCTCCAGGGGTGTTCAAGCCGGACTCACCTTTGGCTAGCCAGGTTTAGTCCAGGGTAAACAAAGGGAGTGGAAAATATGGGCTGATGGCGGCAAAAAGAACCATCAACCAACGGAGGGCTAGCAATGAACGGGGGATCCATCCGCTCCGCGGCATCCCGCAGTGGGTCGGGTCTCTGGAGCCGGGAGTTCGTTCACCAAAAAATCTCAATAACAATCTTTATCAAAAATATCTTAATCTCCGTTGGTACTGTTGAGAGTGTTATCTAGCTTTCTAATCAGGTAGGGTCTTCAATCGGATGACCACAAGCGTCCAGGCATGGCCTCCATTGCGGGCTGTGGCTCCAGCACAGTCCTGGTTTGAAGCCGCATATAATCTATCCGTCACTTGGAATCCCACATTACCTCGTTTAACCTTAAGAGCGCATCGGCGCTGGCTTTCTTTGCTGCCATGAACTCCTCCCGATTCTCTGCACCTCGGGGCCCTAGTAGAATGTCTGAGAAGCAAAGGTCAATGAGGACCTTGAGTTCGTCGTACGTGAACGGTTCGCCATTACCAGCGGCCAGCGCTTGGTCTCCGTGGGTTGCGAACGATTCCTTCTCATCCTTTGCGTAGTCTAAGGCTTTCTCCGCACCTTCCAGGAACCAATCGAGGAATTTAGCGCTACGAGGCAAAGCAACCACCTCGGTGTGCTCACTGTTCTGCTGTGAGTTAGGACTGTCATCTTTCCGTCCATCATCTGTTGGGTCTATGATGATGTTCTTCAGATTCTGCTGCAGCACTAGCACGTCTAGCTGCAGTCGGAGCGCGCCATTTTCGTTCATAGCCCCAATATGATAGGTGTTCGCGACTAAAGTACGGTCGATGAATCGAGCAAGCCCAGACGTGATGAACCATCGCTCAGGTGGTCCTAGGTAAGATGAGATGTTGGTGTCAAACGCGATCAAGTCATTGTTCAGCTCAAGCACTGTAGGAGACGCAGCAGTTGGTTGGTTTGAGAGAATGTGCCACCAATTGGCGAGCGAGCTTGGAGAAGGAGTAGCGGGTTCCGAGCTTCGTGTGTTCCGGGGCTTGGGGCCTTCCATTGTCCGCTTCAGCATATGGATGATGCCGCAACGGATGTCGACATGCAGGGCGAAGAGAGCAGTGCATGCAAGATCGCGGAGAGACTGAAGAGTAGTATCGAACACAGTCGCTGTCTCTTGGTTCAAAGGAAGATAAACTGGTTGATTGATGCCCTCGCACTTCTGTTTCATGGCACCAATCAGAGTCCAGCGGCGATTGGCTGGTCGGGACTCAGCCTGTCGCGAGTCGGAGGCTGGTTGTGTGATTTGACGTAACTGAGCAAGATGGCTTGCGAACCATTGCTGTACTAATTAGCTTTTGTGATTGAAAAAAAGCTGGACTTGGATTGTCTCAACTAACCATGCTGTTGAAAAGAAGCGACAAGGATACGACTGTCTTGGGGTCAGATATGATGTCGTATGGCTCCAATGGAACCTCATTCGTCGAATTGATAAGGATGTCGGTTTCCTGATAGTGTCAACTCGAGCTTTCCAAGAAAAAGGCCTACCATAGGCCTTCGATAGGAAGGAATGGCACGGGGACTTTGTTAGCTACCTTGTCTACGAGCTCCCGCTTGTTCTCGGTCACTCCGTTCCATAATTCCGTGATAATGTTATGAACGTCGCCTGACTCCGCATGACGCGCAGCAGCCTTGAGCCGGACTTCTCCATTGTCTCGGGGAGATGTTTTGGTCACGATCGCTGAACGTTGCAAATTAGAAGAATGAAACAAGGATGCTGGCCACGGATGTCTCACCTTTGTACCATCCACAACACTTGTCGTAGTAAGTCACAATTTGCGAAAGGAGTAGCTGTGTGAAAGCTTGATCATGTGGGATGCTGGATAGCATTTTACTGAATTCTCGAATAATCGACATAAATTTGACCGTACCCTGCGCGACCAACTGTTAGCAATATGTAAATAGTTGCCTAGGATTTCAATTACCCTGAAAACCGGTCGGGGAGAGACCCCAGACCAGTGAGGGTCCTCTGTGAAAGCATCCGGCGAGATAAAGCTAAGAGTGCAGAGGTCTGTCACGGTTTCGTCTAGCTGAGGGAGGAACACGTTGACCAAGAAGTCATCTAGGAAAGAAGTCAATGTACTCATGGCAATGTCGGAATCCACGGGTACAATCTCCTTCAGTCGTTGAATAAATGATAGCGAAGGAGGAAGAAGGAGGCTCATGTTGAAGACGCTTGGCTCTATGAGGATCTTATGCCCAGTTCCCGAGTTTCCTTGTCTGGTGTCGGATGCATCGATGACAGCGGCTTTCTGGCTTGATTTGGTGACCAAGCCAGGAACCGAAGACCTGAGAATCTCGTCCAACTCATTTTGCTCGGCTTGTATTTCGGAAGTGTGGTCCGTTTCGGACAATTTGAACATTTTCTATGGCCAGTGAGCAAATGAATAAGCATGTCTTCGTCATAGCACGCACCTTGTTCTTATCCCTCTGCCCTGTATAAAGCTGTCGTTTCGCTTCAGCCTCTTCGTGCCGGGGCCGGAATGATGATTCTCCATCCGTTGCCAGGTAGTCATGCATGAGGGACCGGATCTTGATTATCTAGTGTTAGAAAGACAGACGAAAAGCCCCACAGCAGAGTCCATTCACGCACCTCACTTTGATAAAGCTTCCAAAGTTCCTTGAACCCACCCGCGAGCGCACTTCCCTTTGGTATACCCTCGCGTTCCACTATAGCCGCAATAACATCATGAAGAACACGATGACCTTCAGCAATAGCCTCAAATTTAGCATACAAGGTCCAAAGAAACTCCGATAGCACGTGACCACGTTTTTCGATTATATCCGTCGGCAAACTTGACTTGCTGTCTTGTGAGGCAAAGCCGCGGGTGTTGTTTGGATACCTTGCATCAATCTCGGCGTTGGTTTTATCAACAACGGCAAACAGTTCAACAGGCAGGCGTTGCTCTATCCTATCAACTGCGATGTCCAAATGACCCATCTTGTTCAGCGCTTCGATCAGCAATTGTATGTAGTAGAATGTATCGGCCTCCGGGTTTCGCGAAGCGTCTTCGACCATAGGCGTGGATGCGTCCAACTTCCCAAGAAATGCATAAACGGGTCTCTCCCATGAGCTTGTTCCGGTCCAGCTGGATGGGTGGGCTCCATTTCCTTCACCATCAGCAGCTGGTGGTTTCCAGCGGCCTGAACAGTAGGGAGATTTGAGGTAGAGGTGATCGTGCAGCTCCTCTATCAGAATGTCTGTAAGAGATGCTTCTTGGTTTCCAAAGTAGGCGCGAATATCTGCGAGGGCTCCAATATTCTCGAGTTCAGAGCGACGCAACAGCCGCAAAGCGTTATGCAATACCTCCACAGCCGCAAGGAATCGTTTGTCCGATATTCGTGACTCTAGCCTTTCGGGCAGAGATTGAATCTCTTGTATCTGGCTGAATAATTGAATAATGTCGTCATATTTCTGTGACGACGTAGCTAACCCCTTTAGTTCGGGCTTAGTCGACAGCAATCCGGATTTTGCCTCTTCCAGCGAGATCTTCAATGTGCGGACTCGGCTTTGTGAGCTCTGTATGCTTGACTGGATCTTATGATAAGTACCAATGGAACTATTGAAGCCCTGGTGATGTTCTGGATACTTCAGCATCGTGTGAAGGCAGGTGAGGGGTTTGGCGGCTTACCATTGACAACGGACTTCAATGTCCTCTGGATTTTATCATTAATTCTTATGAAATCCGGCTCGCGATCGGCTTTTCCCAAGGTACTGGTATCCATCAGCTGCAAAGCGACTTGCACAGGCACACAGTTTTCGGAGGCCACAAAGTCCCATTCTCGTTGAACCATTTGCAGTACGTCTGTGACGGGAGCCAGTAGTGTTAGCATGCTTCTGCTCAATCAAACCTCCCCTGGCAAAAACTAAGAGAAAGAAGAGGTACAATCCGAACCTTCGATGGCCTGGGGACCTGCCGCATGACCGGGAACATTCTCGCCGCTGCTATTATTTCCTAACCAGCTATTATCTCCGCGAGGGCGACCATCTCGAGAACCGAGTGCCCTCCTATTAGCCTCTCCGTCCCTTGTGCGCGATCGCGACGATGAGTGATCACCATCTCTTTCCCGTCTTTCCCGTCGTCGCTCGGGTGACTGTCCCGGTGACAAGGAAGATGATGAAGGCTCTGGATAGAAGCCACCGTATCCACCTGGGCGACGCTCTCTCTCCGCACTGCCTCCTCCGTAGCCGTTCATCCCAAGGCTGCTACTGCTTCCGCCGTATCCACCATCACCGCGGTCATAGCGGCTGGTATCGGAATATCCGTATCCGTTTGCGTAAGGGTTACTGCCACTCATACCAGAGAATTGTCTTCGTCGGAGACTAATTCGTGGGGAAGCTGATAACTGGGAGTTGAGGCTTTGCTGGCGAAGCGAAGGTAACGGGCTGTTTCGAAACCCTAGGTGAAGTTATAATCATGTAATGTTGTTGCCGCAATGATTCAAGCTAGAAACGATACTAGCATGATCGCCTGGGTTGAATTCAAAGTTAGAGAGGAAACGACGCCAGTTCCAACTGCGGAGGGGGGAAACAATAAAATGAACGTTAGGTCGGGGATGCTATGCGGAGAAGGTGTCAGCTTGTAGATAGGAGCGGCAGTTTGGGGTTGGCGGTCTTAACCTTTACCGCCTTGCTTGTTCTATGGTATACTCCGCACTAAGCAAGCCCGACAAGATTACAGAAACTATGAATCTTTCTATATTCGTTTTGTCTCATAAGTATGTAGGTAATGATTTTGAAGCAAAGGGACCATGTATACTTTGCCTAATGCACGTCATACAATTGAGCACGTGTTACCCAAAGTCCTCTCAACGCGCATCCGCCTGGTCATGGTTACTACAGTCCATCCGAGCCATATGTTCTTGTTAATCCATACCGTACTTCATCTTCTTCTTCTTAACTTCGGGGTATCACAAAATCTTTTCTCTTATGGAGAGCAATTCAGGTAGCTAA